ACGAAATAAACAATGTTGGCATCAGTTTAGTCTGCCCAAGCACACTGTTGTTCTTGCTTTATTCAGATATCACTTAAGCTGGTTACGTCTTAAAATTTCATATCAATTTTCACAGTTACTACTGTGATTTTACAAAAAATCTAATAATTACCTGTACTTCTTTTGATCTAAAAATGTAGAAGGACTAGTAATGATGAAATTATTATTCACATGTGATCGCTGTCTGTCTCTATTTTGAGATCATGTGCGTGAAATTTCACTTTTGTTAAAGCGTATAAAATTGTATTTTATCTGATTTTGACGCGAGCTAGAACCTGACATCATCAATTATTTGCTTTTTGATCAAGTAATGACGTATTACGGTATTACTGGTGCGGTTAGCTAGACTCAAGAGTCTTTTTAATGCCAAAAAAATGAGTGAAAATGATATTATCTGATTGATCTGCATTTCATGGAATATACGCGTTAGATCATTGGAAATATTATAAAGACGTTTCCAGAGAAGAAAATTCACTTCTCGACGTATTCATCAACTAGACTGTACATTCGTGTCTACAAATATAGTGATTGGGTGGGAAAGTTTCAGAGGGGAAACTGACATTTTTGTGCAAATAGGGATTTAAAATGTAGTAATAACAAATGTATATACGTTCTCTCTTTGCTAGGCAGTCTGCATCGTGTTCCCAAGGGCGTTTTGCAAGTGGACGCATGGTACAGTCAATGTACTTGGTTGCAGAACATCGAGTGAACTCAGGACACTAAGCTTCATTTGAAAAGTCTTTCAAAGTCGTATAGAAGATATGATCAAACATCTCAAAGAGGGTGAGATCGAGAAATCCAGGAATAGTTGAGGTACTAGTAAATGGGAATTTCAAGCCAGCACCATATATTCAAAAGAAATACATCCAAACTTTGTCTTTAACATGGAGATCATTAAAAGTCAATTCTGCCAATAACTAAACAAAGTAACTTAGTTTACCTACTACCCTGCATACAGTGATTGTTAGATCAACCACACAGGTGAAAGTAGCAGAACAGGGGCAACCAGACTGGCCAAAGATAAAAACGTAGCGAAATCTAGATTAGTGGACCTGAATTAGATAAGAAATCTGGAGAATATTTAAGCTGTACCACTCACTACATGTAATTACACACAATCATACAATAGGATGGGATAAGAGGACAGTTTTGAGATCTTTTGTAATAGGTTGGAAGGAGAGGTTGATAACGGAAGCTTTGTTTGTCTAACCAAGTGCAAAAGTGTGTAATAAGTATGACTCAACACTTGTCCCACAGGATATCTGGAAATTTCCACTACCCCTAAGACGACAAATAGGAAAGAATAAAGAAAACTACAGAACGAAAGTTTCGAAGTTGTGTGATCATAATTGATATGATCATGAACACTGATGAATCGTGTTCGAAAATTCTTCATCCAGTAAATAATACTGTTTCACTGAATGTGTGATACATCTAATAAACAAATTATAATGGAATTACATACTACCACATCACAAGGCCAAGTTTTACACATATATTAAAGATGAAGAGAGATGCTACGAAAAGAGATTTTTTTGCTGATTGACTTATGTGTTCTTGATTTTGAATAGTTCTCTAACTGATGTCAGTTGTAGAGGTCTAACCTGAAAACAGCTTGAGATTATGCAAGGACTAGGACCAGAGATACAGATCATAGGAAATAATAAATAACCACTGTAGCTAAGATAATTTTGCGTGAAAATATATACTACTGATTTTGTGATATGAGTAGTTGCACATCAATCATATCAAACATTTTCTTTGCAACATAGTCATCGACTAGATTGTGCATTCGTGTATTTATAGTAAACAGGTGAGAAAGTTTCAGAACCATTCCCTGTCAAGGATTAGACTAATAAGATTATCAATGTATATATATATATATGCATACGATGGTAAGTGACAAAAGAGGTCGAAGGTTATTGTCAGTTAGTAATAAAACAAGTTAATTTCCAAGACTTTACTTGTAGGGATTTGATTTGCTTCTAGTTTAATTACAGAATGATATCAATTAGAGAATCATTTAAAACCAGGGAATACTGGGCAGTTGTTTTGTCCTAGTTCAGGACTCATCATCTGTAAGAAACCGCCGCCATGGTTCGAGCCCTACACCTTCTGGTTACAAGGCAAGCTTGTGGATCATTCATCCACTGCGACACGACTCAGTGGTACAACTTCTACCAGTTCGTGATTTTATCGTGACCATCAGCTAATGTCATCAGTGAGTATTTGTTTTCACTCTAGACGTGGAGGCACACCACTTGTCACAGCTTCTCACTGGAACTCCGGGTAATTTCCTCTTGTAACTAGTCACTAGACAGCAGCAGATTAATTTTCAAGGGTTTGTTTGAGGGATTCCTGAAGGACTCTAATGACTTGTTCAATATATATCAGTATATTCTCGTTGCAAGAGAGGTGAGGAGATTTCCTTATGTTCTAATCTTGACCAAGAGTGTGGAAGTTTTTCAGCTGTCCAGCACATTTGGCTTGGAGTAAATTGATCTTTCTAGAGATCCTTCTGTTCATCTTGTAAACTGGACATCTGGGAAGAATAATTTACCTGTTCACTCCGCTTTAGGTCAGTATCTTCATCAGTGGTGATAAAGATGCCAGCCATTTACAGCTTGTAAGCTTTGAACCGTTTGATTGTTGGTAGGAGGACATTTGACTCAAAGTACACCATGAAGCGATTGGCAAGTAATGGACCAATTAGAGAACCCTCTGGAAAGTTAAACTTTAAGCACTACTAACTACCAATCAGTGAACAACCTTGAACTCACCAATCACATGAAGGAGGCTTTTTTGGGAATGCAGTATGTATATTTATGAAACAAATTCATAAAAACTGTATAAAACTGTTACACAGGATACCTTTCTCTCACATATCATAAAAACATCTCCCAGTTTAGCATAGGAGTATGATTGGAAAAGTTACACCACAGAAGACGGAGGTGATGAAAATAACCAATTAACAGAGACAACAACCAGCACTAGTCACTATCAATAGGAGAAGTTTGAAAGCGGTTGCTTCCTTCCCTTATCTGAGCAGCATTGTTTCAACCACCGGTAGAACGGATGAGGATATCAAAACCATGTAGAATCGGAAAGGCCAAACAGAGCTTCATCACTTGG